TAGGGGGAGGGACCGCAGGCTGATTGGGGTGGTGGGGGCTGATCAGAGGTGACACTGGCCATGGGGAGGGACTGTGGGTGGTGGGCCGGCCAGCCCTGCCCCCAAATGGGGTAGGGGTTTGATCAGCGGTGGGGCCAGCTGGGGGAGGGGTTGCAGGGGTGGTTGGCTGGCTTCCCTGTCCTCGATTGGGGTGGGAGAGGCCAATCAGGGGTGGGACCAGCCAGTGGGAAGGGTCACAGGAAGTTGGCTATCTGGCCCTACTCCAGATCTGGCCGGTCATTCCAGTCATTCTGGTTGTTCCGCCAGTCAGTTTCTGGGCTTTTATATATAGAGATGTGTCTTGGTATTGGCCTATTTGGGTTCATCTTGTTTTGGACTCTCTGTGATTCTTGGACTTCCATGTCTGTCACCAATTTAGAGAAGGAAGTTTTCCATCATTATTTCTTCAGAGGATTTCAATCACTTGCTCTACCTCTTCTCCTTCTGGTTCCCCTATGATGCAAATGTTGACAATTGATTTTATCCCAGAGGTCCCTTAAATAATTCTCATATTTTTTAATCTTTTTCTTTTTGCTGTTCCAATTACGTTTTTGCTACCTTGTCTTCCAATTCACTGATTTGATCCTCTGCTTCATCTAATCTATTATTGATTCCATTTCACGTGTTATTTTATTCCCATTTAATGTAATCTTCATTTCAGTTATTGTACTCTTTATTTCTGACTGGTTCTTTTTAATGGTTTCTATTTCTTTTTTAAGTTCTCACCAAGTTCATCTATTCTCTCCCTAAATTAATTGAGCATCCTTATAATCAATGTTTTGAACACTGTATCTGATATTATGCTTTCTCCATTTTGTTTAGTACTTTTTCTGGAGTTCTGTTATTTCATTTGTGACATGTTCATTGTCTCCTCTTTTTGGCTGCCTCCATGTGTTATTTTCTATTTATTAAATGGTGGATCTGTTATGCCTGCCAGTCTTGGCAGGGTGTCCTTACATAGTAGGTGTCCTGTGGGGTCCAGTGGTACAGTCTCCCTGGTCACCTGAGCTAGATACCCCAAGGGTGTCCCTTATGCAGGTCGTGTGAGGCCTTTGGTTGTAGTTCAGCCTTGATTGTTGTTAGCACATCGGTGGGTGGGATTGATCCTCAGGCTAACTTACTGAGAGGACTGCTGTGACTGCAGTGGATAAGCTGTTGTCCAGGGCCTGACTTCATGGAGTGGAGTTTTCTTTATTGGGGCTCTGGTGCCTGCCAAATACACCCTTTGGGTGTGTCATTTGTTGAGCTAATTGAGTGGTAGCCTTGTGTGGTTTGAAGCTGGCCTCTAGGTGTATTGATTCTGTGGCCTCTTAGAAGGGTCTCCAATGGAGATAAATGCCAGCCACTGCCTTTGCTTGGATCATGACCACCTGGCAGGAGCTATAAAGTGATTTGCAGTTGACAGCTGCCTTTCCTTGGTGTGGAGGTGCCTGGGAGAAGCTATGCCATGAACTGTGGCTGACTGCCTCTAGTGCCAGGCTTCGGCATGCTCAGCAAGAGGAACAGGGCATGTGAAATCCAACTGCTACTTCTTTCATGTTTGTGGACTTTGATAGATTTTAACCAAAGTCTGCGGTGTGGGCTGAGGACAGTGATTTGTGAGGAACAGCTAGTGACAGATGTTCAGTCTGGTGTGCAAGTTGTGTGCAGCAACATCTCAGGGAGACTCCAGGGTTGGGTGAGCAATGCTTGCCAGATTGATGGATCTCAGACTTGGGGCCCACCTGCACCTGATGACTGGGTGGAGAGAGGGTCTATAATTATATTAATCCCTCCTACAACTTTGTGAGGTTTTCAGTGGAATGTGGCATTATCCATATTTTGTATGTGAAGAAATACCAAGACAGAATGAGAAGGAACTAGTTACCCAAGGTTAACTGTTTGGTAAGTGGTAGGATTAGACCTGGAACCCAGATCTCTAAAGTTCTTGTCCAGGAAGAGCCAGAGAAGAAATGACTGCTTCACAACTCAGCTAGGGTGTTTTATCCTTTCATGGAATATACCAGGGGCCCAGTACATGAATTTGTGCACCTTGAAAGGAACTGTGGGCCTCAAAGATGTGGTGGGCACAGGGGCGGGTCTCAGCCCATCCTCCGTGCCCCCGCCTGTCCCCTCTCGCCCTGGGCCCCCATCCCCTGTCTGCCGACGGCCCTGCCCCTGCCACTACTACTCCCATGCGCTGATGATGCTGGCCCTGCTTGCACCTGCTGACAGTGCAGAGAAATTGGGGCCAGCATCGGGTGTGAGTGGGGCCAGTGCCACCAGTGGGTGTGAGCAGCAGCTGCTGCCCTGATTGCCCCTCAGGAGCAGAGGGAGGTAGAGAAGCCCTCAGGAGCAATCGGGGCCGGCAGCCACCGCTTACACTTGCTGATGGTGCGGAGCGATTGGGGCCTGCACCGGCAGTGGATGCAAGCAGGGCCATCACCAGCAGCAGGTGGGAGAGGTGGCTGCCAGCCCCAATCGCCCCTCAGGAGCAGGAGGAGGTGGAGAAGCCCTGACTGGCTATCAGGGCCAGCAGCTGCCACTTGCACCTGCTGATGGTGCTGAGTGATCAGAGCCGGCGCCAGCAGTGGGTGTGAGTGGTGGCTCCAGCACCAGCAGCAGGTACAAGTGGCAGCTCCAGCACTGGCAGTGGGTTCAAGCAAGGCCAGCATCAGCAACAGGTGCAAGTGCTGGGAGGGACTGTGTTGTGCAGGAGCAAAGAATTTTCAGTAACCACCAGAGGCTGGCCCTGATGACAGTGACCTGCACCGCACCTTGGTCTGGTGCCCCGCTCACCTGCTCCACCATCCTACTGTGGCCGATGCCCGCCATGTTCCACATGCTCCCCCTGGTGGTCAGTGCACATCATAGCCATTGGTTGTTTGGTTGTTCCGCCATTCAGTCTATTTGCACATTAGGGTTTTATATAGGTAGATGGGATCTTCCAGAAATAACGCTTCTGCCTTTGTGTCTTGTAGGTGAGAAAATCAATGCTATAGCACAGATATTGTAGGATTGGTAGGGCCCTGTGATACTTATTATATGTTAGGTGATGTTTATTCCTGCCCCCAAAAGAGAAATAAAAAACCCGATGATAATCCCTCGGTTCTTTTTTTTGTAAATACTCAAGCTGGGAAGTGAGTGGCAAAAGAGGAGAGAAGTGTAGAGAAGGTGCAATGACACGGAATTTGCATGAGCGTGAGTGGTGATGGTGGTTAGCCCATAACAAGGAGGAACAAAAGGACAATTAATAGCAGTATTTTCTCTGGTCAGGTAGAAAATCCTCTGTTTTTCAGGATCTGTATTTCTATAAAGCTGCTTTTCTTGTTAAATGTTACTTAACAATACTCCAGTGCCAGCTATTAATCTCTAAACTTTATGTTCTAGGAGCCTTGTTGACACTGTTTATGCCTTGAAGGATGAGGTGAAAGAACTGAAACAGGTAATGAAATATGTCTTTTTTTCTCAAATCATAACTCCCTCTTCCTTGTCACACACCAGTAGATGCTCTTGGGAATGGTCCAGGAACAAAATGGTGATGTGGGGATTTTTATTTTCCTTGTGTCATCAAGGTGGGTTTTGTTGATTTTACCATGTGGCTTTGGGTAGAAACTTCTGAGGCTTGATTCTATACCTATTTAGTGATTTACAATAGGGTCCAAAACTTACTTAAAACTTTCATGTTTCCTGATATTTGTTAACAGAATTTAAGAAAAGATAAGTAATTTGTGAGCATGTAATCAGAATTATAAATCATAATTTGTGAGCTCCAGTGCATATGTGATCCAGTGCTCCATGATGTTCACACTTCCTTATGTTTGAGGATTGACTGTACCTAGTGACAGGGTAAAGGATGGATTGAAAGGAAGAGAGACAAGACTCTGAAAGACCAGTTAGGACTTATTACAAAACTCAGGATGAGACATGATGAAGTTCTGACCTGAGGTAGTGCTACTGAGGCTACAGCGGAGGAAAATGAATGTAAAGGAAGGCACATGGCAAAGTTAGAGCCTGTGGAAAATGATGGTGTGATTTTGGGATTAAGAAAGAGCCAGGGATTGAAGATGAAGCTTATTACCTTGGTATCTAGTTTAATATGGTGATGCCCTTCATGGAGATCAGCAACCACAAGGGAAGAGAAGTTTGGGGTGATGGAGATAGAGTTCACTTTAGGACATAATGAGTTTGAGGGACTAGAAACATATCTAGGGGGGAAATACCAAGTTGGCATTGGGGACTGGGGACCTAGTGCTCATGAGATAAGATGAAATAAGTATCAGAGAGATTTTGGAGGCCTCTTAATAGATACTTGAGTTGAAAGAGAATAGACACTAAGAAAAGAGTATTGAATTAGCAGAGGGCCAGGGACAGAGCCTTAGGGAATGGTTGTATTTCAAGAAAGAAGAATACAAAAGGTTTGTCAGGGAGAGGTAGGAGAATCAAGAAGTTGCCTTGTGTTAGGAGCTGAGAGAAAGGATTTTGAGGAAGAAAAGTGTAGTAGTCCGTAGTGAAGACCACCAAGAGGATGAGCAGCAGGAGCCCTGAGAAGGGGTCCCTTTGTTTGGTAATCAAGTCTTTTCCCATAATAGGAGAATAAAAGAATGAAGCAATGCCTGGAAGAAGAATTGAAATCAAGAAGGGACCTAGAAAAGCTCGTTCGGAGGCTGTTGAAGCAAACTGATGAGTGTATTCGGGCTGACTCCAGTAACAAGACCTCTATTCTTCCATAACCATCACCGTGTACCTGGGCAGAGTGTGCCTTCAGTGCATCTTAAAATGTCCATCTGAATGATTTGGCTCAGTTTGCTCACTTCCTTGGTTTTTATTTTGTATTTGAGTCAGCCCCCTTCCCTCTGTTTGTTTGTTTTTGTTTGGTTATTGATTGGTTGGTTACATTTTTCCTGACAGGGATAAAAGCAAGAGGTGGTGGTAGAAGTCTCCTCAGTGTTTTTTCTATTCAATAACAAAAGGAAAGCTAATGTAGACAAATGACTTAATTGATCTTCTGTTGGCCTTGAATTCATAGTGCCTCTTTAACAACCATTAATTACCCTTTTGGGGCTGGCTACAATCACAAAGCTACTAGGCATGGATTATTAAAGGTGAGTTTGACTTTCCCCCAATGCTTTCCTGTATGTGGAAGCCCCTCAGTACCAAATTTACTGACAGCGAAGCTTTTTGAGTTATGACTAGAGTAGTGAAAGACAAACACATTAGCCCAATGATCCAGCTGCCTTTCCCTGGACCATCATTTGATACCCCTCAATGCACTTTTTTTTTATTACTATCCAATGTTGTCTGTAAGACCAAGAAGACAGTAGCACCCTTCCTTTTGTGTTGGTTAACATTTTAGTTCTGTGGGTCAAAAGCTTTATGGGTCATTCATGCCAACACCAAATCCATTAGCAAACTGCACTGGACAGTCCTCCCTTCAGCAATGGAGTTGACCACCTCTTCTCCAATACATAATAGAATTTTTCCCTAGCCTTCTGCCTCATTGTGAGTTTTATATTTCCTCAGTGCTTTTTAGCCAACCATACCAAGTGGTGTGTAAAGTAGTATGCTTGAACTTTGCTTACTTAAAAAAAATATTGACTGTGAGCAGGTATTATATCTACATTGCATATTCAAATTGCAACTTCTCATCTTTAAAACAATTTGCCATTGAGGAGATATTGTATCCCAGCAGACAGCTTTAATTCACATATTGCTCTCCCATATATGTTATGAGAAACTTAATATTCATCAGCCTCTAAGTATTATTTGTAGAAATGTGCTATTGGTCCAGTTTGTATATCCAGGGGGGGAAATGTACTCCTCTAGTAGCTGTGTGTTGGTTACTAATGAAGCAGATTATTTGGAACTTGTTTACTCAAGTTTCTCCTGGAATCAAACAATTGCCTTAGTAAGCATCTCAGAAATTAGAGCTGTGGCATACCAGATTTAGAAGATGGTCACAGAAGAGTAGCATACATCCAAATTACTCCCAATTGAAAAATCACTTCTCCCAAGGAAGTGAAATTTGGCCAGGTGGGGAAGATCATTGGAAAAAGAGGCAAGGGGCCAGTGGACTGATCAAAGCTGTCTTCTAGATACATTTGAAAGGTGCCTATAAATATGGATCTTGCAAATATTGTTTAGAAACCAAACTTGAAGCTTGAACCTCTCAGCTTCCTAAGCCCCTTTTCTTTCTAGTACTGGAGGTATCAAGTTCTGATAGCTGCACGGTATGGGGCTGTTCACTGCTTGCTGCATGGCAGAAATGAACCATTCACAGGAAATAGACTATTCCTGTTGTCCAACATCAGCCAACCACACACAGCTGTCTTTGGAAGCTGAAGAGTGAAGAAGATGTCAAAGAATTGGCTCTTGTTCTGTTTTTAAGTACAACGGTTTAGGTACGCCACCCTTCACCTAAAAATTAAAAACAACACAGATCTTAGCATTTGCTCTGTCTGTGGTTAGTCAATGGCTTGCAATAAATGTGCAAACTATATCCATAGGAAACATTTTTGTGATTGCAAAATATTTTAGTTGATAAGGTATAGCTTAAAATATTGAAAGGTCTTTATTTTAAAGTGACATGTATAAATGCATGTTTTGGGGACTTGGTCCTTCTGATGAGAGGCCCTCAGTTGTCTGGATAATGAAGCTTGTGCAGAGTGGTGTCCACACTCACACACTAAACAATAATATAAAGGAAATGAAGCCATGTTAACCTGAGAGCAGTATCTCCATAGTTGTATTGTTTACAATACTCTATAAATGGGTTTCTGTTACCCTGTAATTAAATTGTTGCCCTTGGAGGCCTTTCAGTTCCTCTTCTGTCATGTTCCTTCTTACACAGGCTCAAATTTTCTAACTTGTTTTTATTTTGAACTTTAAAAATTGACATTTTCAAATAAATGAGAATAACAATGCTTTATAAAATAAGTACTGTGTTTTATCACTTTTATTTATTATTTATTTATTCATTTCTTTATTTAGCTAGCTGGTGTGCAGAAAGATTTCTCATGGTATGTCAACTTCCTTTCCTATTTCATCATCATCAGGCCCCCTAGCCAGTTTTGACCTTTTTCACTCAGGGAAGATGATATTTGCTCCCCACTTTATACAAATAATACAAGCCTTGAGACAGAACCTTCCTTAATTTCACTTCTCTCCTTCTGGCCTGAACCTATAAACTGTCTGTATTTCTCACCATTTGCATTCCAATACTAGAAAAATATCCATTTTCCTGATCAAACTTATTCCTTGATCTTAAGTCTTATCCCCATCCCCCTTTGTATTTTGTAGTATTTTGCCAATCAGTGATATCCTATATTTTGACCATAGTTGGAATGTTGGTGCCAAGAGTCAGGAAGGATTTATTTATCTAAAGATATATGCTCTGGATATTATGTTTCTATTCAGCAACCATTCCTACCTTTTTTATGTCCCCTGCCCCCAAGGCTAAAAAACAAACAAAAAAACACACACTCCAGACTCCCCTCCAGCTAGGATTCTGGATACAATGTGGGTTCTTATACATTTTCAGTTCTGGCAATGAGATGCTTTTGCACAATATTTGGAAGTCTTCAGTTAAGCAGAGGATATCTTCCTAGGGCTTGCTGGCTGGCAGGCAATTCCAAGGATATGTTGATGGCTTATGTACTCTACATTCCAATGTGTGTATCCACAGTTTTTGGTAAGGAACCAGTGGCAGCAGTGCTGATGATAGAAGTGGCAGCAGCTTCCTAAACTAGATTTGGATCACAACTGCAATGATATGACCACAAAGCCATTAGTCCAAAGGCAGGCCCTTGACTTCCACTTCTGTAGCCAATAGTTTTGTAGATATACCTCATATTACTTTTCTGCTTGAGATATCTTCATAGATTTATTTTTTATTCTGAGGCAATAGATAAAATATTGCACCTCCTCTGTGTTAGGCCCCATAATGTTTTACATAATTTTAAGCTCATGTAATCCTCATAACCCTATGAGGTATTCACTATT